TTTGTGGACGGAGGAATGAATGAATATGCATAGGAACACACAGGCTAAAAACTACTCAACAGATAATGAATGATGGTTGGAAAAGCCAAGGGCACATCAACCTCAGTGACCTGGGGTATCGAGCTCAGCATACTTCCTGGCACCCCAAGACCTCGCACCACCCCAGTCTTGCTCGTAACCCTCAGTCCTTGGTTTTGGTCCCTGCTAGCTCCTCCTGCCTCTCCTAAACTCACAGCTCACGGTGCTCAAAGAGACCCCTGTGGGCATCAAGGAACCTCCATTCTCTTTGGGAAGAAAAGTCTGGCGTCCACATTCTCCCCATTGGGATCCTCATCCAAGGCCTCTGGGCCTCCTCTGCAGGCCCTGAGCCTCACAGCCCACCAGAGACCTTCATTTGCCCTGTTTTAGTCTTGGTGGTGGTCATGGGGCCTGGACTCTGGGCCTGGGCGCTGTCCCTCAGCATTTCAGCTCAAGGCTAGCACTCTACCACTTGAGCCACAGCGCCACTTCCCAGCATTTTCTGCTTATATGGTACTGAGGAATCAAACCCAGGGCCTCTTGCTTGCAAGGTGAGCACTCTACCACTGAGCCACCTTCCCAGCCCCTGCTTCAGTCATTTGTAACCACTACCAAGCCTTTGGCCTACAACACTGACCCCTGTGGCCTCATTAGGCCAAAGCTGGGAATCTGCAGGTGAGACTTGCCAGATGACTCCATGTGCTCGGCTGTGCTCGGCAGAGGCCCATTCATCTGAGGACAGGGACAGCTACCTTGGAGCCTGGACATGAGACACACCTGTGCCCAGAGTCTCTGCACAGACACTGAAGAGTCACTGCATGCCAAAGCCTCCAGCCCTGTTTAACTTTGATGATCACCTTCAGGAGGGCTACAGAATCTCCCTTTCACAGGGAAGAAACTGAGCCCAGGAAGTAAAGTTACCCTAAATAGTGGAGGGAAGGGAGGCCCGGCAAGCAGGACCTGGCCTCCACCCAGGGCCTCTCCGTGCTCATTGCTCCCCAAGGCCACGCCACTGAGGGACACAGAGTGAGCAAGCCATTGCCTAAGTGAAGAACCTTTGTGTCGAAGTAAAATGATCACCAACCCCCTTCATTACCTCCAGAGACAAGTCCTGGCTGATACCTTCCCATCTTTATCTCAAGTACATTTAAATGTCAATTAAATTTGAAATATCTACATTTGTCAGCATTTCATTTTGGACCAGCGTGACGTGCTGCTGATTTGTCCACGCGATGTGACACATGAAAAAAACTCTCGAGATGCAGATCTTCCTCATTAAAAAATAAGCCGGCGCGATCCCAGCACGGCAGAGAGCACAGAGCACGTCCCTGCTTCCTGACGCCGGCTCTGACATGGTATTTAAAAAGGAACAGCCTCGCCTGTCACCACTGTCACACGCACTCGCTAACCGGCGACACGTTAAACCAAACATTAGAAAGGGCTCAGAGTCATCTGCATGGGAACTCCGCAACACGCGCGGTGGGCAGAGGCGGGGCGCTGAGCCGGGGGATGGGGTGCCAGTGGTGATGGACAGAGAGCCTTTCTTTCTCCCCAAGACATCGCAGCCCTCGCTGGGTAGCCAAGTTCGCCCCGACCTGCCTTTTTACAGACAGTCCTTTGTGTGTAATAAAATCCAGGCGATTGGTGGGTGGCAGACTGCAGGATGGTAGCTGAATTGGGTTAATGAGGGAAGAGGTACACTTTTTTTTTTCCCCCTATTCCGCCTTAAGCTAATAAAAAATTTAAGCCTGGACATTTTCGATGGTCCATCCTTTATCTCTGACAAATATCTGACTGTATGTTTCATGGGAGAACATGAGCAGCTGAATTTAAATAAGTTTATTTTGAAATCTCACCTTTCATTAAAAGTAGATGGGGGAATCCCCCCCCCCCCCCGCACCACACCCCTCTCATCTCATTGTTTCAGATCTGAGAAACTGAAGAGGTTTAGAGACAGGTGGATTCGGTGTGACCCCAGGCAAGCCCCCCCCCCCAACTTCAGCTTGTCTGTCTTAGTGAGAAATGGTATGGACAGCAGATAGCTCAAGGCTTGTCAATTCTGTGACTGCCATCATCTTCATCTCTGTGGCCTGGACAGGGCAAAGGTCAAATCTGACCAAATCACATCCAAGTTTCACCCAGAGCCATTGGCGTGTTCTATACACACACACTGGGCCTAGCTGGCTGGGAAAGCCAACTGGAGACAGTTGCACTGAAGGTTAGAAGTGAGGTTCCCCCTCCTCCCTCTCCCTGCATGGACACATGTAGGGAGGCAAGGTCTGGTCCAGCACCAAGGCTTTCTGCTCTTCTGCGAATCTAGAAAGTTCTGTCAGGTATAGTAGCGTTCATGTTATGTGGCCAATTATGGTCAGTGCTATCTGCTCAGAGTCACAGGACCTATAAATGTGGGCGCCCATGCTTAGGTGGCTCTCAGGGCCACCAGAGAGCCTTATTCCACGTGACCCTGTCAAGGGCTTACATCGTGCTATGTCAGCCCACCTGGGCCTTTTAGTTGTTTTCAGCAACTTCCTGAGACTCGCTTGCCCTGTGTCCATCACACACACACACACACACACACACACACACACACACACGCACCCTGGCCTGGTGCTATTCTGTCTGTCTCAGAAGGTCTCAGAGGATAAGCGGGGAGCCCAGGAAGAGGAGCCTTCGATCACAGCCACAGCTGTGGTGAAAGGAGCCACAAGATGTGGCGGGCCCCGGGAGTGTGGCCAGCTGAGGCCTCCCCCAGCACGTCAGCTCTTCCTTGTTCAACCAGAAACTTCCACGGTGCTCTGTGGCCCCAGGTGGGGGTGAGGGAACAAGCCAGGCTCCTGCCCTTGAGAAACTCAGAAACAGACTTAAAGGAGATTAAATGGCCCTGGGAAGCACAAGGCAGTAGCCAGGAAGAACAAGGAACCCCGGGGAACCTCTCGGCCACTTAGGCCAGGTTCTGAAGGCAGAAGAGCAGTCAGTACACCAGGTAGGACAGCCAGGCCAGCTGACAAAGAGCACATGTTTCAGACATTGTAAGCTGGCCGATGTGTAGGGGGAGGGCAGGGGGAGGCTGCGGGTCTGTACAGAGCCACGCGCAGCTCAGACCCTGCGCAGCCTAGCCTGACCCTCCTTCCCTGCTCAGGAGCCGTCCCATGCTAGGGAGTGTGAGTGGGTCATCTGTCAGGTCATCCCGCCCCTCCTTGCCATTTGTGCAGCAAACTCCTGGTCCAGAATGGTCATCTGGTTCGAGGAGAGGGCCAGGGCCAGGCTCGTGTGAAGGTGGTCCTTCTGTGGACGAGGCAGGAGCCAGGTCTTGCCCGGAGCTGGCCAGAGCACGGCTCTGTGCAGCAGGTCCCTCAATAGTCCGGGGAGGGCTGGGGTATGTCTCAAGGGCCCTGGGAATGAAGGGGAACAGAGTGCTGTGGCCCACCACTTCCTGAGGCGGGATCCCGGGCTACTGGCTTTGAGGATCTTAGGGACCATGGGAGGTACAGACACGGCAGTGGGGGAACTGGGGTCCTTGAGGTTCTGGGAGCCAGCGTGGGGAAGAGCTGGGTTAGCACCAGCGATGGGCATCGTGGCACAGCCTGGTCCCAGTGCCCCCCACTCCCTGGGGGCAGCTGCCGCCCCTCTTCTGCCCGCAGCTGTGGTTCTTGGTGCTTGCGTTGGACCTGTTGCTCTTGCCTGACATAAAACCGCAAGGAGTCCCACCCAAATGGGAAGCGCAGGAAGGAGGCTGGGGCTGCCCTCGCGGGCGGGCCCCTCCTGGACACCCCATGTCTCTCCAGACCTCCCCAGCCCCTCCCAGGGCTGCTCGGAGCAGACCCAGCTCACTGAGGGGAGCAGACGCAAGCAACCCCCGCTCCCCAGAACAAGACAGCAGCCACGGTGGGGCTGGGATTTGAACCACTGTCTGCAGGCCCCGCTCCTCTCCAGCCCCTGGCCTCTCACAGGCCCTGGTCAGTATATAATTCATAGGAGCCGGGTGTGGAGCTTCCCTGGGCTGTGTGTGTGTTTGTTTAGAGAGGTAGAGCTCACAGGTGGCTGACAAGGGAGATCTATTTTTTATAACGATGAATATTTAATTTCCACATCACAGATGAAAAGGAGTCTCGAAAGAAGCATCTGAGGGAGGCTCCAGAGAGCCGCCGCTAATCAGAAAAGGCTCTTCTCCAGGGCCTCTGCCACAAGCATCACTTGTTTTCTTTAACTTTTTTTTAAAATTTCTTCTTCAAATTCCTGATTATTGAAGTAGCTATGCTCATCCTGGAAAAATGAAAAGAAGGTGGGGGGGGGGGGGCGCGGGGGAGTCACGCACAATCCCACTGGCTATTATTGGCTTTTAGGCCCCTGCGTTTCCAGTCCTTTTTTTTTGTTTTGTTTTGGTCTTGGTTTTTGAAACGCCGCTTTCTATAGATCGGAGAGAGGGTACGTGGTACCGTCGCTTTGCACTGTCCCTGGGGGAATTGGTTCCGGATGCCAAAGTCTACGCATGCTCAAGTCCCTTGGGCGACATGCTGCCACCTTTTAAAACAGCTCTAGATCGCCGTATTGTATATCCACTGCTGCGGAATCGCTACACTGGTTAGGGAATGCTAGAAAGGCAAGGAGAAAAGTCTGGCATCATTTTCTCCCAAATGTCTTCCCCAACTCACTGTTGGTTGGATCTGCACATGGAAGGCTGACCGTGAGAAAATGACAATTCTGCGTCATGACGGTGGCTGGGGGGAGGGGGAACCATGTGGAGTCCATGTTGCTCTGCGCTAACTGTCCTGGGGCATAGTTGCTCACTACATTTAGGAGGCGCAGGGAAGTGGCATTCCAGGGTCGCTCCTGACTGGATGGCGCATTCCAGGCTCCTGGTGCACAGGGCACCCCAGTTTCCTCCCCCTGCTGCCCTCCGGCCTTCTCCTTCACACCTTGCACAGAGCTCTGACAGTGCCTCTAACTGCCTGTTCTCTTCTCTCTTGTCTCCTCTGCCCCAGCCTGGTAAAGCCTTTGCGACACTATGCAGTCTTCCTCTCCGAGGACTCCTCTGACGATGAATGCCAGCAGGAAGACACCCCCGGCGCTGGCTTCACCGAAAGCTTTTTCTTCTCCACTCCCTTTGAATGGTCTCTCTTCCTTCTTCCAGCTCCCTGGGCTCAGCTGGGTGACTCTCTGAGCGCATGGGGGGGGCGGGGCGGTAATGGGGCTGGTACCGCTTGCTCCTGTTGGGGGAAGGGTGGTGTGTGAATACAGCCTGCTAGCTGTCCCAGGATCAACCGGCAGGGAGAATGCCACCTCTCAGGGTGCCAGCCCCACCGGGCTGTGACAGGGGAGTGAGGTGCAGGAAATTAATTTGGCTGTGAATAGACTTAGTGGCTACTGCAACCATGGGTTTTGGTCCCTGAGTCCTTCTTTACCTCAACACAGCTTGGAAAACCAGCGAGACATCAAGGCAGGTTTTAAGTTAAAAGGAGATTTCATAGGATGGGATATGTATATTAATATCAGCAAACCTAAATGTTCCAATCTACCTGACTTTGAACATGTGCCAGTGCTGGGCATGAACTCAGGGCCTGGCACTGTCCCTTAACTTTTTCCACCAAAGTTGGCACTCTCCCACTTGAGCCACAGCTCTACGTCTGTCTTTTTGGTGGTTAATTGGAGTTAAGAGTCTTATGAACTTTCCTGACCAGGCTAGCTTTGATCCTCAGATCTTAGTCTCTTGAGTAGCTACAGTTACCTGCCTTTTTAAATATAATTTTATCAGTATTGCTTATAACCTAAGCTTTATACTAATTACAATTAACATGTTTTTCAAAAGGAAAAAGACAAAAGTTTATGGGCTGGGAGGTTTTATATTCTTTACTTTTCAAATTGTGTTATAAAGGTGATGTACAGAGGGGTTACTGCTTCATAAGTCAGGTAGCCAATACATTTCTTGTTCGACAATGTCACCCCTTCCTTCATTCTCTCCCAGTTTTTCCTTCCTGTCCCCACTCACTCATTTTTGACACACTTTTCAACCACTGCTGCATCTGTCCACCCTTTGGAGGTTTATGTTTTTAATAAAGAGAAAAGGGTTTGCCCACCCCCAAATATAATTTTTCATAGAGCCCTTTCTTTGCCAGCTCCTCCGCCTGCAGGTTTTTCAGAGCTGAGGTTGAGCTAAGATGGCTTCAGTCTGTCCATACCAAAGTCACTGGTGTTTTACAAAGCACTTAAGGAAAGGGAATGGCCCTATTCTCCACGAGGGGCCAGTGTTCATTCCTGACCTCTTCCAAAGTCCCAGGTACTGGGTTCTGTCCCCTGAGCTGGGCTCGTGGATACTTTTAAGGATCATATGCAACCCAGACTGCTCTGCGGCCTGCCCGTGCCCACAGCGCAGGGAGATCCTGCCCCTTCCTGCCTCCACATCACCTGTAACCACCCAGTCACCCCTCCCCACGCCCCCACCTGCAGACTGGCCTGAGTCCTGAGTCTGGTGCCTTTTCTGCACATGAAATCTTTCTCTACATTTTTGCTTTTGAATGTTGTATCCTTATCCTAAGTAATAATACCTACAACATCATAGACCAATTGGAATAAGAAATGTTCATTCAGGTATCAGCTTGAGGTCACCTTGCAGAAAAAGCAGCCTCCTTAAGTGTCCTCTGAAGTCCAAAGTCCCATCCTATCATGCTGTCTAAATTATTTTTTTTTTAGCGGGGGGGGGGGGGGGGGGGAGGAAGGTGGCACTGGAGATTGAACCCAGAAATTTGCCCATGCTAGGCAAGCACTGCACCTCTGAACCATACCCAACCCCAGTCCCTTCACTACTTAGATAGTGGCGCTCATTTCAGTGCTCAGCTCAGGTCTTTGTGTGTTATATGTGTTTTGTTTTAAAAACAAAAACAAAAAAACGTTGTGTGCTCAGCATGCTGAGACTTGAAAGTTGAAGCTCAAAACCACCTAGGAGAGACAAATCTATGCAACTCTTATCTCAAGTTAACTAGAAAAAAAAACCTGAAACTGGAGGTATGGCTCAAGTGGTAGAACTCCAGCCTTGAGCAAGAAAAGCTGAGGGAGAATGTGTGGCCCTGAGTTCAAACCCCAGCATTATTAGCACAATCAATAACTAGAAGCTCTGCCATCCTGACTCAAAATACAAAAAGCTAAAAAGAAAATCATTTCCTGAAATCTAAGAAGCTCGAACTTTTCTTTTTTCCTTTTATTTTGCTCAAACTCAATGAAAGGGTCCTTGATTTTTTGGTCAGAATGGTCAGACTTGGCTTCCATTTCCACCTCTTGCCAGGTGCTGTGAGCCATGGAGTGGGTCACTTCTCTGAAATTCTGTTTCCTCATCTATAAGGTGAGGGTGTAAGGCCTGCTTCATGAGCAGACCGTCAGGAGTTTATGTTGAGCCCTCCTGACTGTCCTTCAGGTGCCTTCCGTGTCCGCCCACTCATGACCAGCAGGTGGCGCCTTCCTCCCACCTTACCAGCATACAATCTGCACCTGACACAGAGAAGCCTGGCATGGCACTGGCCCCTAGCTCCACTAATGGTTTACCCAGGCACTGCCTGGGGCTCAGTGGTGCCCTGGGGTGCAGCTGGGAGGAAAGAAGGCTACCTACCCCGGGCCAGCCTGAGTGTGCCAGGCACTGCATTTGCTCACAGCCGCCACCATCACCTGAGCAGCCGTGACTCAGAGACGTTGGATGATGCCTAGAGAGGCACAGGCAGGGCTGTAATGGATGTCACACAGGCTGACATCCTCAGTGGGTTCCCCAGAAGGTACTGGGCAGCAGCTGCTCAGTTCCCCCAAATCCACAGCCACTGGTGGTCACCGCCTGGGAGCACAGGGAGGAAGAAGAACACAATCTGCCTGCCCACCGGTTTCCCCCTCCATCTGCCTGTGTTCCTGCCCCATTCCTTTAGCTTTCAATACAAAGCCTGGGGTTCTGGGGAATTTCCTTCCCCTCCCCCCAGGCCCCCAGTGCAAGTGGCAGCCATCCATCATGACTTGTCCAAGGTCACTGAGCAAGCAGCAAAACCAAATTCAGGGCCAAGTCTGCTCACCCCCTTCCACCACCTGAGCTGCAGCCAGCACGGGGCCCCAGGACCTCTGCTGTCCTGGCGGGGTCCTGGGCATGGTGCTTGAGGCCTGGACATTCTTGGAGGCTGGGGCACCCCTTCCTCCCACCGACACCCTGGTGGGAGAATCCAGCATGCTCTGTCTTCTCCCAGGCCACAGCCATATCGGACACTCAGAGAGTCAGACAGTGCGGAAGGCGATGAGGCAGAAAGCCCTGAGCGGCCCGGCCGGGAGTCCCGGGGCTCTGTCCCCGCTCCTCCTGACCGGGCTTCCAGCATTGATCTCCTGGAAGATGTCTTCAGCAGCCTGGACATGGAGGCCCCACTGCAGCCACTGGGCCAAGCCAAGAGCTTAGAGGACCTCCGACCCCCAAAGACCTACAGGAGCAGCCAGGGACCTTTGACTACCAGGTATGGCGCGGGCGGGGCAGGGTGTCGGCTGGGGTGCTCCCACACAAGACAGGGAAGAGACCAAGGGGAGTCTTCAGCCCCTGCTGAGTGAGTGATGGCAAGCCTCCCCGGTGGGCAGCAGCTTCGCTCCCCCTCCAGCCGCCCTAGACCGCTGCTGGGGTCATCTGCTCACGTGTCCGAAGCAGGCTGACTCCAGACCGAACTGTACTGATCCTACCAGGGCTTCTTAGGTCTGGATTGTTGTGGTGACACCACTGACCTCCCTGGTGACTCCAGCCCTGCGTGCCCCTCCCTGCGCTGGCTTGGTCATCACCCGGTCACCTGTGGAGTCACAGTTCCCATGCGTCCTCTGAAGCACCCCGTGCCCACTGGGAATGAGGCAGCGCAGACCAAGAGGGGCGGTGTGACTTTGCAGGTCCAGTAGCCTGGAAGCAACAGAGCCAGGACTTGAACTCAGTCCTCGCAAGTGCCCCTTCTGTCAGGTCCCAGGCCTCACCGACGTCCCTAGGGTGATCAAAGGCGCCACCAGCTCTGAAAAGCAACAAGGGCTGGACCAGTAGATGGAATCCCTGTCCCAACTCCACTTCCCAGTGGCTGGCATCAAAGGGCAAGAGGCTCCTCCAGAACCGCTCAGACACACAGTAGGAGGCCTGGCTTGGAGTCCAGCTGAGCCTGGCTTCTCTGCTGATGACCTCAAGTAACCCCCATACTCATAGTTCCGGTGCCAGCCCAGCTGGGGGGCGGGGCCGGGCAAGCTTTCTTCCTGCCTGGGACGGCCTGCGCTCACCAGCTCTCCTGTCCCGCTCTTCTTCTCAACAGAGGCTGGACCTGGGCAGGAGCGAGAGGACCCTGGGGATGGCGATGGCCTTGAAGCTCACCCACCCATACAACAAACTCTGGAGCCTGGGCCAGGACGACATGGCCCTCCCAGCAAGCCTCCGGCCGCCTCCCCAGAGAAGCCCTCAGCCCCGCCGGTCAGCTCCCCAGCCCTGCCCAGGAAGCCCCAGAGCCGGGACAGCATCCTGAACCCCAGCAACAAGGAGGAGGCTCTCACCCCGACGCCAGGTAGCATCACCATTCCCCGGCCACAGGGCAGGAAGACGCCCGAGCTGGGCATCGTGCCGCCACCGCCCACCGCGCGCCCAGCCAAGCTCCAGGCTGCCAGCGGCGGCGCACACGGCGATTTCTCAGATCAGCTGCAGATGGATTGGGAGAGACGGGCGGCCCTCAGCCCAGCACAGTTCCTGGGGCTGCTCCCCAGTGTGGCCCCCCAAGGTCCCAGTGAACCGCTGAAGCCCCTCAGCCCCAGCTCCAGGGGTTACGAGCACAGGCAGCGACGCCCTGCTTGCCCTCCTGGACCCGCTGAACACAGCCTGGTCAGGCAGTGCTGTCCCGCCACACCCTGACACCCCAAAAGTGGCCCCCCCATTCACGCCTCAGTTCAGCTTCCCCCCAACAGGCACCCCCACGCCTTTCCACCAGCCGCCACTCAACCCCTTCGTGGCGTCCGTGCCAGTGGCACCATCCAACCTGCCCTTAGGTTCCACCCCAGCCCCACCTTTTGGGGCCCCTGCAGCATTTGCCCCCAGGCCTCCTCTCATCCAGTGCTGGCTTCTGTGCCCCTCACAGACCTCAGCCCAACCTGTCTGCCCTCTCCATGCCCAACCTGTTTGGCCAGATGCCTCTGGGTGCCACACCAGCCCCCTACAGCCGCTCGGCCCCCCCAACCGTTGCCCCCTCGAGGATCCGAACGTTGCCCCTGGCCCGTTCCAGGTGCCAGATCTGCGGAGGCCAAGCAGGGGCTGGCTCTGAGGCATGGGGAGCCCCCGCTCCTGCCCCCCAGGCCCCCACACGGCTTGGAGCCAGCATTGCAGCCCTCAGCACCCCCCACAGGCCAGAGGACCCCTTTGAGGATTTGTTGCTGAAAACCAGGCAAGACGTGAGCCCGGCCCCCGCCCCAGGCTCTGTGGAGCAGCTGCGGAAGCAGTGGGAGACCTTCGAGTGAGGGCCACGGCTCCCTCGCCACGCTGCCCAGCTTCCACTGGTGGGAAGGGACCCTTGCCCCGTTCCACACTGCTCGCCTTTGAGGTCTGGCCCTGGGGAGGGGTGCTTCACAGCCTGGGAGCTACCCCACCTGCTCCAGCACCCTGCCTGGGTTTTGCACTAGCGGTCAGCTGGGCCAGACACCCAGGTCATGTCCCAGCGCCTTCCCTCCAGACCCTCCACAGCAAGCCGTGGGGCTCTAGGCCGCTCCTCCAGGGCGCAGTAGTCCACCCCCCACCCCACAGGCATCAGTGTTAGCTCCGTGTGAGTACACCTGTGCGAGACACAGGCATCCGGGGTCCAGAGTGAGGGTCCTTCCCAGGCGGGGGACCTCCCCGGCATCTGAACCCTCTCTAGCAATACTCTGGTTTTTTTCATGAGTCTCCAGCCAACCTCCAAGTGTCAGTCATTTCTGGGGGGGCAAGGGTCCAGGAACCCCTGTAACGGCCAAAACCCAGCTGGGGCTGGGAGCACCAGCAACTATAGAAGAGGAGGAACCCCAGATCCAGATGTCGGGAGGAGCCACCCCCCCACACACACACACCCTGTTACCCAGCCTCCACGCTTTCCTGGTCCCTGTCACTGTCAAGGCCGGGGCTCCAACTCCTGTACCTGGGGCTTGGTGGGCAGAGTTGGCAGTGACAAGTCTGCTTTCAGCTCAGAAGCCAGGCACAGTGCCACAGGCTGGTGGGATGGCACAGCTGCCCGGACGCCCTGTCAGGGCCAGGCAGGCCCCCATGGAGCAGAGGAGACCGGGCCGGCTGGCCCGCAGCCAGCCCTCCCATCCATCTCAAGCAAGCTTCTCGCCAGCACGGATTCCTGAGGCGGACAGCACCAAAGCAAGACTCTAATGTTTTGTTGTTGTTTCTTTTATCTTTCTTTTCCTTTTGACCTTATTGATTTGATGAATCCTGAAAATTGACTCCTTTCAATAAACCAAGTTAAAACACGGCCTCAACGTTTAAGAAAACAACCATCTGAGACATGCAGGAAATTGTGAACATTTTCACCTGAATTCTCATTTCCTATTTGTGAACAGGTCAGACACTGTCTACCCTGGGGTGTCTGGCGGGGACAGGGGGGTCTCTGGAGGCCCCTGTCCCCCAGGGAGCCTCCTCTATGTCTCAGAGGCTCGGAAGCTGCCATCACTGCACATGGATCTCTGAGGCTTCTGGGGTCAACCATGACGCCAGCACAATCCTGTCCTGTCTCGGGGCCCTTGGCTGATGGGGAGCCCAGTCTCTCCTGGGTACTCAGCTGTGCAGCACAGGTTCCAGTTCCACTCCCCTGTCCTGGGCAGACCTCCAGGCCCTGCCAGAACAGGGCAGCCTCGGGGGCAGAGGCAGAGGCAAGGTGCTCCTGCTTGGATCAGAGAAACAACGCACATCCCACAGCCCCGCCAGCTGCAAGCTCATGGCCACTCCCCCTGCGCACCACCAATCTCGTCGATCATTGGGTAGAATTTGCAAACCCAAGGAAGAACTTCGTATGTGCGTTCAATAAAACCTTCCTGGGGAAGAGGCTGGCATCCTTGTCTCTTTCAGGGAGTTGGGAGGCAGGAAAGCCCAGAGTGGGCACTCGGCCATCCTCACCGGTCTGCAGAGCCGTAGCCAGGGGAAAGATCCCACCCCAGCGTACCCCCAAGATGAACACTCCTGGATGGAGGAGAGCTCAAGAGCAGCCACTCAGGGACCGAAGCTAAATCCAAATCCCTTGACAATATGTAGGAGAGCCACAGAAAATGCCCCTTCTTAGAGGTCTGCAGCTTGCACAGACCATATCTGGCCATATTTGGCCATATCCCTGACTCCAGAAACCAGTTTACTGCTGGCCCCAGGAGTTGTGAGAAACTGGGGGCCAGATAGGCCTCCCTCTAACAGAACAGGACCCAGAAAACCCCATGGACTAGTGTTCAAGGCCCCTCTCCTAGCCCCACTGAGCCCCCGCACCATGAACTGTGTCCTCTAGAGGTGACTGAAGACCACGGTGCCAGAGAAAGTGAACATCCAGGTGTCAAGGGTTCAAGGCTCTGCTGGCCTTGCCACCTGGATTCCAGTCCGATGTTGGCCTAGAAAGCCAGGGCAGGAGGGCACATCTTCAGGTCCGAGAGAAGGCCCCCCTGAAGCCTGAAGGAATCCAGGCCCCCAGGCAGATGCCTCTAGAACCCGAAGTCACAGGAGCAAATAACAGGCCTAGCCATGGAAGGATGACCCAAGGGCTTCTGTCAAGTTCTTTCCAGTGTACAGGTAAGGGGGCAGCTGGAGGTCTGAAGGCCTCTCGGTGGGGAGGCGGAAGGGCTACTCATCCTCCTGCCCTTCTGGCCTCTGGCTGGCTCCAAGGACCCCCCCCCATCAGCCATGACCCTCAAGGACACCCAGATCCTTCATGTCAGAACATAGTTGAATGGCTTCTGAACTTGGCTGTCAGCTTCTCTGAGCCTTGTAGCTGCCCATGAGGTAGGCAGAGGGTCTTCTTCACCTGCTAATGACCATGGCAGCCAGTTCTCGGCTCCTACGGGGCTGGCCTGGGCAGACATGAGGTGAGATGAGCAGAGACGTCTGCCTGAAGAAGCCAGAGGCCCACACGGCCTCCAAGAATCCTCCTCTGCCAACCCCACCTCCCAGCGGTCTCTAGGGCATGGGCTTGCCCTGGGAGGTGGCAGAAGATGCCAGAAGCCTCGGAGCTTGGGTAAGCGCTGGTCTGGCCTGCTGGTGCACGTGCGGCCTTGGGCTGGCCCTGTCCTACAGTTGTCCAGTTGGCTGTAGTTGTGGACAAGCCACCTCCCCATGAGATCACCTGTCCTTCTCCCAGCAAGCTCCATAACTTGCTCTCCTGACACACCACGTGCACCCACGTGTGTCCTCCATGCACAGCAGCACACCTGCCATGGCAAAGGCCAGCAGGTTGGAGAGTTCCACAGCCTCATGGGCCCTCTTCCCGGAGATGCCACTTTCCCTCAGGCCCGCCAGGGGGCAAAGGCAGGGACCGCCGACCACTCCCAGTGGTGCCCCAGGCCCTAAAAGTGACCTCCTTGGGTTTCCAGGTAAGTTGATCTCCTACAGGACTTCAGGGATAGCGTGGGTAACCAGGCTGGCCTAAATAAGCCTCTCCTCAGGGGGCACCTTGAGGACACTGTCCATCTCCAGCCGGGCTCCAGCCACCTCCTGCTGGCTGGGGCTGTAGGTGCCTTCTGACTGGCGGCGTTTTCTGGCAGCCAGGATCCCAGACAGGAGGCCGAGGAGGAGGAGGAGGAGACAGGCGCAGGCCGCGGGCACGGCCACCTCCAGCAGTGGGAACGGCAGCGGCAGGGGCAGGCCCTTCTGCGAGGGGAGAAAGAGGACGCAGGGGCATGTTCAGAGAACCCGAGCCAACAACAGGCTTCCCTAGAGGTGCTGAGAGACCCGCTCCCGGGGCGTGTGTGAACAGAAGCTCCCTGTCCACACCCCGCACAGGAGTGGCGGCCAGTGGGATTCTGGCTGGCAGGATAGAACGCAGACATCTACGGAATGCACAGTACGAGGTAGGCACTGGGTGCTGGGTCTCACGCGGCCTCCCCGAGCCTAACAGAGCAGGGGCAGGCCCAGGCAGAGCCCAGCCAAGGCCGGGGCGGAACTCAGCAGGACTGGTCTGCTTTGGAGGGCCCATCTCCCAACAGATGCTCAGCTGCCCACATCTGTATGTCTTTCTGTGTGTCTTGAACTCTGAAGTCTCAGGATTCCAGAAGTGCAGAACCTGGCGTCTCCCATCGGCCTGCCCTCTGGACTGTTAAGGCCTCTCGTTTATGGCCATACCTTCCTGAATGTGCCTGTGCTCATCAGATCCCGGAAAGCCTCTCTGCCTACTGTGCCCTGGATTCTGAACCCCAGCATCCCGCCTGCAGGAGCACTCCCCCAAAGCTCTAGAAAAGTCCACGCCAGACTTCTGTGGGTCCAGCAGCCGGCAGCCGGGACAGCACTTGTGAGGAAACTGTAAAGCCATTTCCTCCTCCTTGGCCTGGCCTGGCCTGGGAGGGCGGCAGTGGTATGGGAAAGCCGGAGGCTGTAAAAGTCCCACTTGAAAGAAAACATTCCCCAGCAGCAGAGGGATTTGCGGGTTTATGGCCTGGCCTTCCCAAAGCCTGCAGAGATCAAGGCTGCTCCTCCCCATCGCCTGTGCCCAGAGCTGAGGCCTGCTCTGCCTCAGTGTTGGGGGGGGGGAGGTGGCCACTCCATCCAGCCCCCCCCCCCCCCGCCTCAGCTGAGCTTCCCCAGGCCCTGAGCTCTCCCTAGAGAGAATGCCTCCCATGGGAGCACAGAAGGGACCCGCTTCCTCTCCTGCCACTCCCCAGCCACCACAGAGGTGGTCCAGGAACGGCTCCCTAGGGGCTGTGCCTACCCTTCTCCCTCCCCCCCACCCCACCCCCAGCTCTGGTCATCACTCACCACGACCTCACAGAACTGGCCAGAAAAGCCGATGCGGCAGGAGCATTCATAGGCCCCACCGGAGGCCCGGCAGGTGCCCCCATTCAAGCAGGGGTTGGCTTTGCAGGCCAGGGCTGGCCTCTGACACCTGGAGAGGGAAGGGGGGAGAGCGAGCTGCTACGCCCTGACACGGGGCCTCTGAGAAACACAGCTACTACTGCCTGGCAGGTGTAGGCGTAGCAGAAGGGGGTTATCTGGCTGTGACCAGTGGTTGAGAGACTAAGAGGTTCCCCCATTTTCCTTGCCGTGGCCACACTGCCCAGCCTCTTCCTCCGCAGGCCCCCAGTCCAACTCCCTGACTCCAAACCCACCTGCGGCCAGCAAGCGCCTCAAGGCAGCTGCAGTTGGTGCCCTGCGTCGCGGCCTCACAGAGGACGCCGTCCGGGCAGGTGGCGTTGAGGCTGCACTCCTCCGGCAGGACCGGCAGCCTGGAGAGAGAGAGAGAGAGAGAGAGAGAGCACGAGGCTGGACAAGCGGCTCTGGCCCATCCCCTTGCCCCAGGCTCCCTGTGCAGTTCTCGCTCGCCTCCTACAGACCTCCATGTCTAGGTGGGAGGGACAGCGCAGGGCTGTCACTCTACTATTCAGCCCCATCCTGCAACGTGTGTACCTTTCCTGTACCTTTCCGGGGCCTCTGAGAAGCTATGAGATGGAAGGACTGGGGAGAGGGACAGGATGGAACAAAAGCAGCTCTACTTATCAAACATTATTGAGGGGAGAGGCTCCCACTGACTCCTCCAGGAGCTGCCACAAGGAAGGGGACAGAGCCCCAGCTCCCAGGAACAGCAAAGGCCGTGTTGGTGGGATCAGCCCCCGGCCAGGGGACAGAGCGGTCACCATCGTGGGGGGAAGTCCCCCGGCAAAGCCTGGAGGGCGTCTTCTCAGACCACCTCTGGTGGCCCAAATCCTGACCACGGTGTTATCTGATGTGCAAGGGTTTTGGGGGGAGGGTTTGTTTGTGTTCGTTTGTTGGCAGGAAGGGGAACATAATTTATTCTGGCTTTTTGTTTTCGTTTTTGGTCGGTCATGGGGCTTGAACTCGGGGCTTGGGTGCTGTCTGCCTTTCTCCCGCCTTGGCTGGCTCCCAACTGCGATCCTCAGATCTCAGCCTCCCGAGTAGCTAGGATTAGAGGTGCGAGCCCTCAGCGCCCAGCAATATTCTACTTGTCTCTATTCTACTTATTGAGACTTGTCGAACCGACCTGCGGTGCCTCTTTCCCAGATGACGAGCAATAGGCGGGGAGGAGGGGGCTGACCTGCGCACACCTGCAGCCTGTTCTCCCTGGGGTCGGCGTCCCCGCGGCGCATTGCCCCCCTCCTTGCCTCCCGCCCACCCCCCGCCCGGACCTGTGAAACCATCCACACCTGCAGCGCGGGCCGGCGAAGCCAGGCTGGCAGCGGCACTCGAAGCGACCGTCCGGGCGCGCCCGACAGCGCCCATGGGCGCAGGGCCTGGCGCGACACGGGTCGGCGCGGGTCTGGCAGCGCGGCCCCTCCCAGCCCGGGGCGCAGGCGCAGGCGAAGGCGTCGAAGAGGTCGCGGCAGGCGCCACCATGCGCGCAGGGCGATGGCGCGCACACCGGGGCCCCGCTGCAGCCCAGGCGCGGGGGCGGGCGCCGGGGGCCAGGCCTCGAAGTGTTGTTCCGGGGGAGCGGGGGCCGCGCCGGGCCGCGGCCGCGCCAGGGGCAGCGGGAGACCGCCGAGCGCCACGCGGCCCAGGCAGCCCGTGAAGTTCTCGGCCAGCAGGACGCGCGCGGCGCCCGGGCCCGGCGGGAAGCCCGGGTCGCCCTCCGGGCGCAGCGCCACGGGCGAGGCCGCGCCGTCCAGCCACAGCAGCCAGCGCTCGGCGGCCGCGGCCAGGCGCACGCGGTGCCAGGCGCCGTCGGCCACGCGCGGCCCGGGCGCGGGGAGCGCGGCGCCCGCCCCGCCGCCGCGGCGCACGCGGGCCACCAGCGAGCCGTTGCGCACCGCCAGCCAGACGCCGGCCCCGGCCCCCGCGTCCGCGCGCAGCAGCCCCGCGTCCGCGTCCCGCGTGCGGAAGGCCAGCGACAGCCCGCCGCCCAGCCAGCGCCCCGCCGAGGCGTTGTGCCCGCGGAACTCCACCGGGGGACCCTCGCGGAACGTGGCCTCCGCCACACCTGCAGAGAGAAAGGGAAGGTTGATTTGCCCGCCACGCCCTGCTGCCCGTGCCTGAGGAATGGAACTCAAGACTTCACGCATGTCAGGCAAGCACGCCACCACGGAGCCACATTCCCAGCCCTCCCCTCACTCTCCACTACAGCCTTTTTAAACTACAGATCCTCCGCCTGCTGAAACGCTCCTGCGCTCCCCAGTGCCCTTGCAATACAATCTGAGCTGCCTGACCTGGGATTCAATTCCCTGCCAACTTCTCCACCCAGGTTCCTGCTGCATCCTTCCTGGACTGCTGTTTCAGAGGTTCCTACAGACCTCACGGCCTTTGCACAGACCATTCCCTCTTCCTGGAATGTCCAATTTTTCTGTAGCCTCTCAAGAGTTGGCCCTGAAAAAAGCCTCAAGAAAGCCTGGATGCTGTGCCCTCCACACTGGGCTGGGGCTATAAGCATTCCTGGTCCCTAATAGACCAGCATCTCATACACCCAGAGGGACCTAACTGGCTGGAATTTCTACCATGCAGCATACAGGCTGCCAAGGGCCCACACTCACAGACAAAGCCGTCTGGGACCTCTTCACAGGTGGCAGGTGGGAGGCAGGGCTGGCTAGGGCACCACCGCTGTTGGGCGCAAGTGGGCCCCGTGAAGTTGTCGGGACAGGTGCAGTTGAAGTCATTCCAGGTGACGAGGCAAGTCCCACCGTTGAGACAGGGGTCTGGCTGTGGGACAGTCAGGGCGGAGGCTGCCTCACCCCAAGCCCCCTGACCATCACCGCCCTTCATGAAGCAGGGCCCAGGGTCAGGTCAGGTCACAGACAGTGAGGCCACCAGGGTCCTCACCCAAGGGTGGAACTAGTCACCTGGTGCCAGGGAGACCAAGTGCCCATCATGTCCAGGAGTTACCCCACCTCCCACCCCGTCCCTTTCCCAACCCCCAGAAGCTCCCGCAGAAGGACGGCAGCAGCCCTGCCTAGGGCAGAGTGTCATCTCCGGGCTTGGGGAGGGGCCGCAGAGACCAGGCAGAAGAGGGGACGTGAATCCTGAGATTAATGCACGTGACAGCCACTCCTGGGCCTGTCTCCTCCTCCCAGTGACCCAGGACAGACCCCCTGGCGCGCACTCACACTGCACGTGTCCTCAGAGACGCAGCCCCGGGTGAGGTTCCAGGCCTGGCTGGCATCCAGCTCGCCAGGCCCTCGGGGTGCCGCAGGCTGGCTGGAGTTCTCCATCGGCCGAGGAAAGAAGGGGAGGTGGAGGCCGTTCAGCCGCAGGTCCTGGAGGCAGCCTCGGAAGGGCCCACCCCAGGGCCGGGTGTCGGCAGGCTCGGGTCTCCCACCCACGTGCACCTGCTGCCCCAGGTCCTGCAGCTGCTCGGGCCCAAAGCCGAGCGTCACCAGGTGCTGGAGCCCGTCATCCCGGCGCCCAGGGAGCACCACCGCAGGGCCACCACGCACCACGGCCCGGACCTGGCCCTCCCGCAGGAAGATCGTCAGGCCAGCCGCCGAGTCGTTGGCAAACTGAAGCAGCAGGCCAGCGGGCTCGCGCGTCCGGACGAGGAAGGACACGGTGAGGTTGGGGCCTGGCCACTCAGGGAGCAGAAAGGAGGCAGAGCTCGAGGCGCCCCCCAAGCCAAAGGTGGCGGCAGGACTCTCTGCGGGGGAGGGGGAGATGGGGGCGGGGTGAGCTGGGCAGGTGGGGAGCCCCGGGTTCGCTGCCTCCCCAGCTCTGTGGTCTCACCGGCAGCACACGTGGGGCCGCCGTAGGGCCGCGGGCAGGCGCAGCGGAAGCGCGTCCACAGGTCCTCACAGGTCCCGCCGTGGGCGCAGGGCGGGGGCTGGCACTGCTCCTGGCGCTCACAGCCCCGGTGGACATCCACGCCCAGGTCTTCGGGCAGCAGCAAGTGCCCGTCCACCCATACATCCTGGAGACAGCCTGCAAAGGCAGAGCCCCCCAGCTGGACGGCACAAGGCCCAGCAGGCCCAGGGGCCACTGACGACACAGGGGCCACGGGACCAGAAGCCACGCAGAGCTGGGCGGGACAGTCCTCATGCCAGAGCCGGAGGTCCAGGATCCCCAGGCGGAGTTCCACCTCCACCCGGTGCCAGTGGCCATCACTGAGGGTCCGGCCTGGCAGTCTCAGGACAAGGGGGTTGCCACCACGGCTCCAGAGCATGGCTTGAAGTGTGGCCCCCACCAGGGCCAGCTCCAAGCTGTCCTGGGTGTCAGTGAGAGTAGCCAGGATGCCAGCAGACAGGGTGGTGCGAAACCTCAGTGCCAGGCCCAGGGGGCCACCGGCTGGCACCGATGCCCGCACAGGGCTCTCAGCCATGACAGAGAAGGTGGTATTGTGGCCACAGGAAGGGCCATGGGAGCCAGGTGGACAGCGGCAGGCATAACCATGGACCCCGGACTCGAAGGTGGGGATGCAGGTAGCAGCTGGAGGACAGGCGTGGCCCTGGCAGCCAGTGAGCTGCACAGAGCAGTCGTGCCCACCCCAGGCCTCTGGGCACCGGCAGACGTAGCCCGCCACTTTGTCATCACAGGTTCCTCCATGCAGGCAGGGCTCTGACAGGCACTCATCCACATCTTCCTGACATGCCAGACCTTCGGGAGAGACCAGGCAAGGCTCAGTTCCCATGGCCAGGACCACAGTTCCCAACCAGAATTCCGTGCCTTGGTGCCTAGCAACAGGGTGCCCCAGATGATTTGTCCATACCCCTAGAGGCAGAACCCAGATGCCCACCCATGCTGAGTCTCTATGCCCTGTGAATCCGATCCTTGAAATACCTCCAGACCCCCTTTTCCTCCTGCCTCACAACTCCTGCCTTCCCAGTCCTCTGGGTCACAGTTGGAGGCCCTGGATTAGCAGCCTCCAGATTAGCGGCCTCCAGAAGGCCCTCTCCTCTCCACCCCTTCCCCGCAGCCTCCAGCCATCGCTTCCCCAGGCATGGTGGGCATCCACAACCTCTGCTGTCTGCTTGAAATGCCTCATCCTCCTCTCCATCCAGCAAAGCCCAAGTTAAAAGGTCAGGAGCTTTCCCTGACTTCCAACCCACACTCCTTGCCACTCCCTTCACAGCCCACAGGCCTGTGTGGTGAAAGTATGCATTTTACTGGGCTGCAATTTCCATCAGGGGCCCAAGTGTCTGTGATGCCCACCAAAGGACCTGACAGGTAGAGGGATGAAATGGAAGAACGGGGTGATAACACATCTGGGGTACAATGAGCAGCTACAGGCTCAACCTCTCCATCCTTCTGCCTTGGCCACCGTGTGACCTCAATTCAGCCAGAGCCCCCACCAAACAAACAAGGCTAGCCCTGCCCCCCACCTCCCAGCTGCAAGACCCTGGTCCAGAGAAGCCACGAGGACCTGAGAGCACTTGAAGTCTAAATCTGATCCACCCATCACCACCAGCTCCTCCCACACAGCCCCCTGTCCTCCATACCTGCCAGGAGCCACAGCCCTCCCAGGAAGGGGTACAGGACCCCCAGTCCCATGACTCCCCTACAGAGGGGCTGAGTGGTGGCAGGCACGGCGACCAGGGAGCAGAGCTCCCTCCCTGGGCCAGTACTTCCTCCCCAACCAGCTCAGGAATGCCAGGCCCGGGCCTCCCCCACGCCGAGCTCTGCCCATAGGGAGGCTGGGTCCCTCTCCTGAGCTCTGACCTGAGCTCGGCCCTCCCTCGCAGCTGAGCTCAACTGCAAGGAGCTGGGTTCCCACTGACTGATGCCTATGACCCTGGGGCTGCCAGGGCTGCCATTTGTAGGATGGAGATGTCAAGCCCCACCCCATGGGTAGATGTAGTGCAGAGAAGAGGCAGAGGGCCACGGCTCCTGGGGCACAACTTGGTCCTCAGCCAGGGGGCATAGTGGACGGGTTTCCAAGGCCCCCAGGGGCATAGGCTATCCAGGAGTAGGGGTGCTGAGCTCCAACTTGCAGGGGGAGGGTCATGCCTCCTTCCCAGGCTGTGAGGGAGGGGAGCCTCTGCCCAGAGCCTGAGGAAGAGGAGGTGGTGTGGCAGGAATGTGTCTGGGGGGGGGGGGGAGGTCACAGCCATTCCAGAGCCGGCAGGGGCATGCGGGAGAAACACGTGGGGGCAGCTCCCAGGCTCACCAGTGGTCATCTGTTTGCACCTGCCTGGACCCAAGTCAGGGAACAACCTTCTGCACCCCCAAGTCTACCAGGTGCCCCCCCTCCCCAAAGGGAAGCAAGGGTGCTCCTCAGTCTTGGCTAGACGGTTCCGAACATCCCCAAACCCCTTTGATGCCAGGCTCTGCCCATTGCCCTCCACCTTCACCGGACAGCTCAGCCTGCCTCTGGTCCCTGCTGCCGGGAGCCACTCCTAACCCCACCTCTGGCGCCAGCCCAGGCCTCAGTCCTGAGCCCCAGATCCTCAGTATGATCAGGGCTGAACACCACCTCCTCGGCCCTACCCCGGATGCCTCTCTCCATGTGGACCTATAACATCCACCCCCAAACTCATCCACCCCCAAACTCATCCGCCCCTCTCTTCCCACTTCCAGAGCCAAACCTCAGCCCAGCTCCACTCACGAATCACTTGGGCCCCGGCGCCCCACGCCTTCCTCACCTCCTGCCCCCGCCAAGCCTCTCAGCAGCTACCCTGCCCCCCCCCCGGCCCCACCCCGCGCCCACCTGCGTAGCCGGCTGGACAGTGGCACTGGAAGCCATTGGGCAGGTCCTGGCAGCGGCCTCCGTGGAGACAGGGCCTTGAGGCGCACTCGTCCACGTCCACGCCGCAGTCTTCCCCTGCAAGAGGCTCGGCCGTGGCTCCCGCCCGCACCCTCGGGGCCAGCCCAGCGCTAGAGGGGCTCATGGCTACTTGGGGGCCCCGCAGCCGGGGTCCCTCCCTGCGCAGGGGGCTCACCCTCAAAGCCGGCCGGGCAGCGGCACCAGAAGCCAGCCGCGCGGCGGAAGTCGAAGGCCCCGGGCTGGTAGAGCGCGGGGTCGGAGCGCTGCAGGCACCGGCCCCCGTGGCGGCAGGGGCCCGGCGCGCACTCGTCCTCGTCCACCTCGCACCGCTCGCCGCTGAAGCCTGGGCACACGTGGGCATCCGGTCACGCGCGGGCGGCCCACGCGGCGGGGACGGCAGCGCCGCGTGCTGTCGCCAGCGGGGCCGCTGGGGCAGCTACGTACGGCACATTTACTGTTCATTCCACTGAGTACTTGGCATGTGCCAGGCCGGCGCCATGGCGCCTCCGCCCTCCTCACCGCCACCCGGGTGCCGGGTGTTAACAACAATTCTATCTAAAAGATTGGGAAACCGAGGCTGAGGCCCACTGCAGAGTCAAAGGGGTGGAAAATTACCCAGAGCGCCTCCTGTCCAGGATCGCACACACAGGCTAATGGGATGCACACTCTTGCGCATGCGTGCGGCTACTCCACGTCAGCTGCCAGCCCTAGGGACTTGCATGCGTGCGGACACCCATGTCTACACACGCGCATGCGCACCCGGGTCCACGCAGGCACCTGGCCCGCACATGCGCACGCACACGCCCTCCTACTCACCAGGCCAGCAGAGGCAGCGGAAGCTCCCGAGGCCGTCGAGGCAGGTCGCGTTGTGCGCGCAGGGCGCCGATGCACACTCCAGTACCTCCTGCTCGCAGCGCACGCCCTCGTAGCCCGTGTCAGCGCAGTCGCACCGGAACCTGGGGTGAGCGTGCACGGAGCTGAGTGCGCGCCCGCCCGCGCCCCCTCCCCGTGCCCAGCCCAGGCCCGCGGCGCCGTCTCCCGGCACAGCCGCGGCCCCTCCGCCAGGCCGGCGCTCACCCATTGACCAGGTCGTGGCAGACGCCCCCGTGGGCGCACGGCTGGCTCTGGCACTCGTCGACGTCCAGCTGGCAGCTGGCACCCGCGTAGCCCGGCGCGCACACGCAGCGGTAGGAGCCGACGCCGTCCAGGCACGAGCCCCCGTGCAGGCAGGGCGCCGACGCGCACTCGTCCACCTCCTCCGCGCAGGTCACGCCTGGACGGGGGCACAGACAATAGGCCCGGGAAGATGGGCGCCCACCGCGGGCCTAGAGACCAAGCCAGGGACCGGAGGGTCCCCCAGAGCGACGTTGGCAGGGAGGGGGCAGGGGGAGCAAGGATCATTCATCCAGAGCAGATGTTGCTTCCTCTTGAAGACGGATATGGCAGGCCAGCAGATAGGGACTCGCTCGATTTGTAAGTCAGGACTGCATTTTCAGTCAGGCTAAGCTCGACAAGGAAAAGAACCGGATGTGTTGAAAGAAAGAGCCAGGGTCTTTCTGAGGAGTTGGGAGTCGAGGACGGCTTCCTTGAAGAAGAGGTTTTCGGGATGGGATAACAGCCTCTGTGCGCGGCTGGATGTCAGACTTTGAATCCAGCCCTCCCCTGCTTGAGGAGGAGGAGGGGTGATACCCCGAGGGGGTGGGGACTGTGTGGAGGGGCAGGAACAAGGGGAGAGGTGGTGTATAGGCCTGGGTCTGGGGGCCTAGTAAAGACGCTGAGCAGCAGATTGACAGCTGGGCCTAGCTACATTTGAGAACATTTCTCAGGGGGCCTTGAGGGCTACATGAGGCGGGACCCCCACATACCCTCCAGGTGGGCCTTCCTGGAATAGAATAACCATACTGTATTGATGTTAAAACTCCAAGCCCCCCGTCAGGGTCAGCCCATTGCTGACCCTGGATTGCTGGATGCTGTTCCCTCCCTCTCCCCCCCCCCCATGGATGGAGTGGGGACAGAGAGATCCAGAATCTGGAGATTCAGCTGGAGCTCCTGGTCACGCAGACTTCAGGACCCCTCTCCCTGTCCCCTAAAGTGGGTTTGGTCATGGGGGCCAGGGCCCAGCTGACTCCAGCTGGAATCCTCCTCTCTTCCCAGATCAGTGAGCACAAAACACAGCCCCTCCTCCCTTCCATGACCCTCCAAGCCCCACTCCCACCCTCTGTGCCAGGCGGAGCCAGGCCCAGGCTGCCTGGAATCCCAACTCCCCCTCATAGCTCTGAATGGAAGGAGAGAAATGAGTCACCAGGCTGTGCACAACCACCACTCAGCCAGAAAATGACCTGGAGCACCTCCCATGCAGGAGCACACATACCGGCTGTTGGGATGCACATGCAGCCCTGGTGCATGCACACTCTGGCAGATGCATGAACACTATGGATGCAAAATAGGTGTGCAAACCAGGAGACCCACAGACTGATGTGACCCACTGTGTGACACTCAGGTACCCAACTAGGACATGCGGACACAGAGACAGACCAGGGGAAAGGTATCTTCCCTCTGGAACTCCACCCCAGTGTGCACCTCTGCTTCTGAGAACTTCAGACTTCCCTCCACCCTCAGCACAGAGATGTCTGGATTCATTGACCCCAGACTGTCCTAGACTGGGCCTCACTCGCAGACCTGTCGCTAGCTGGACTCTCCTTCCTTCTGCCACTTGAGCTTTAGTTATTTTCCCAGGTAGAAGATTGCATTTGTTGTCCAGGGCAACAAATGGCCTCAGACAATGATCCTCTTACCCATGCTTCTGGAGTGGCTGGAATTAGTTATGAACCACCCTATCTGTCTTGTTTGTTGAGATGGTGTTTCACTAACTTTTGGGCCAGGTTGGCCCTAAACTACAGTTCTCCCAATCTCTGCTACCTAAATATCTGACATTAGCTGGTGGTCCATGCTCAGCCCCACTTTTCCTTTTGTTGCTTCTTTTTCTTTCTTATGTTATTGTTGTTGTACTGGGGATGGAACCTATAAGCCCCAAGCATGCTAGCCAAACATTCCACCCCTGGGCCACAGCCACAACCTGCCAGTTCCTTTCCTGAGCACTGTGAATACATTACCCACTCAAGGCAGTGGGGGCTGTGGGGGGCTTGTGTACATCAAAACCAGAAGGCATCCACACAGGGCTCCCCATTGCCTCCGGAGCCAAGCCACGGTCTTCTGACTCTAGGACCATCAGATAAGGCACAAGATGTCAGCGTGACAGCTTGACACGGATCTGCAGTGAGAACAAGCTGGAAATGCTGTCTGGGTGTCCTCATTACAGGCAGCCGTGCGCTGTCTACCCTGCCAGAATGCCTGAGGGGGCCTCTGCCTTCCAGAGTCAAACTCGGCTCTGTAGAAGGGACAGGAACAAGGTTTGCCAAGTGCTTGGCATGTGCCAGCACTCAGACATACACAGTGTCACCCCTGGGTGCCCAAGAAGCATCGAGTCTGTAGCTCAGGAGCAGGTGGACTGCCTGGGGCATCTCTAGACTCCAGCTGATGCTTGTACTCTGAGCGGCTAGTGGGGTCCAGGGTCAGAGCTCCTCAGCCAGCCAGAGCCCTTACCTGCATAGCCGAGGGGGCAGTGGCATTCATAGCGATCGGCCAGGTTGTGGCAGGTGGCCCCATGGTGGCAGGGCCGGGATGCGCACTCATCGATGTCCAGCTCACAGTGCTGACCCTGGAAACCCGGCACGCAGTAGCAGCGGAAGTCGCTAGGATCAGGACCCTGGGGCACACACAGAGCGCCGTGGTGGCATGGCTGAGTGGCACAGCCCCTGGATTCTGTGAGTGCACAGGTGTAGCTTCCATTCTCCATAGCCTGGCACTCAGTCCCTGGAGCACATGGGTGTGAGGCACAGGGACTTGAGGTCTCTGAAGGCCCCGTCTCTGTAGAAAGAAGAAACTCAGGTGGGCAGGGCGCACAGGGACCACACAACACCCCACCCCGCACTCCCAGCCCAGCCGCAGACCCTAGACGGCAACACTGCAGGGCTAGAAAGGAGGGCCAGGATGGCCACAAACTGCAGAGACCTAATCCAGAACTGGAGTGTCTGCCGGCCCAGGGGCCAGCTGGGGATCCCGGCTCCCCCACAGGGTAAGGGAACACTCTGCAGAGCCCCTGGAGCCAGGGATGGCAGTGCAGAGGCTGAAGAGGAAACCAAGGCTTGCTGAGGTTGAGCCACAGTTAGCTCCAGCATGGGTCTCAATGCCAACGGTTTCAGGACTCCTGGGGCTTTCCCTTCTGTGGGCTTGGCCCTCCCAGGACCCCGGAGGAAAAGGGCAGAGGAGGGGGTGACTCCTGCCCCCTACCTCTCCTGCTGGGGCTCTGGTAACTCCATCTCTGCATGAAACCTGAGATGTCTGCCTTCAACCTCAGAGATGGGAATGGAGAAGGGAGTGGTGACATCAAAGGCGAGGAATGGACTCAGCCCCTCCTGTCTTTACTGGCCCCCCCCACCCCCCTACCCCCCCACCCCCCGCAGCCCTGGGCCCTGCCTCCTGCCTGCTGGGCCTCAACCCCCACCAGCTCATAAGTGCCTAGCTGAGCTCACCCAAGACAGGGCAGATACTGAGACCCACTTGCCTTCAGAACATCTGCCATGGCCATGCTTTAGACCCCACACTTGGGGTCCTGGGGCTTGAACTCAGGGCTGGGGTGCTGCCATGAGCCTCTTGTGCTCTAAGCTAGCTCTCTACCACTTGAGCCACAGGTCCACTGCTGGCTTTTTGTTGTTAGTGGTAGTGGTTGTGGGGCCTCAACTCTGGGCCTGGGCGCCATCCCTCAGCTCTTTAGCTCAAGGCTAGTGCTCTACCACTTGAGCCACAGGGCCACTTCCGTCTTTTTCTGCATATGTGGTGCTGAGGAATTGAACCCAGGGCCTCATGCCTTCAAGGCAAGCACTCTACCACTGAGCCACCTTCACAGCCTGACTTCCGGCTTTTTTGAGTAGTTGATTGGAGATAAGAATCTCACAGGACTTTTATTCCTGGGCTAGTTTCACATTATGATCCTCAGATCTCAGCCTCCTGAGTAGCTAGGATTATAGGTGTAAGCCACTGGTACCCAGTTGGTACCCCTCCCCTTTTTGAGGGTGACAACTGGTTTGGAAGCCAAGCCAAAGAGCAGGGCTTCCCCGTACTCTCTCCTTAAGGCTCAAGAGCCTTGTCACTAGCAGGCCTGCATTCAAACCCTGTCTCCAAAGACTGCTAGCTATGACACCCTAGGCCAGTCATTTCTCCTAAGAGCCTGAAGAGAGGGTATGAGTGGTGAACCCCTAGAGTTTTGAAGAATGCAGAGCTTCAGGGGCCACACTCCAGTGTCAGCTCACTGCATGCTGTGGGGGAAGGGAGTCTCCAATAACCAACCTACCCCCACCCTGCCCAGGTTGTCATACAGACACTAACCAGGTCCCAGAGCAGCGCAGGCCCTGCGCCCTCCCCTCCCCCACCCCATGAAAACCCCAAGATAAGACTGGCCGCTTCACAGGCATCATCCACATTCCAGCAGACAGGGCCCGGCCTGGCCAGACCTCCATGCTCCCCAGCAGACCCGAGGAGAGTGGGGGACAGTGAAACAGGGACAGGCGGACCCTGGGAGATGACCACCCTTCAGTCCAAGCTGGGGCGCCCCTAGCACCTGGTGCAGCCCAGCAGGAGCACCCCGTTCCACACGGGGGGGGGGGCGGCAAGTGGGTGCTGAGAACTGAGAACCCAAAACACTGTCAGGCCTGTCCCCAGCCCCCTTCCCCGCCCTGTCACCTGAGCCAGGACCTGAGCTATCTGGCCGTCCCTGAGGGGCAGCTGGCCTTCATGGTCCTGCCCTGCTTAGAGTTTAGTGGCAGCTTCCCCGGCTCAGCCTGCGGTGGGGGGGGGGGGGGGTCAGGACATTGAAGGGCTGGTGGGATGGGCATGGATCAAATTTAGGGCATCAGACAGGTTTGGGTTGTAGCAGGGTGCCATCTGTGCCCTTCCAGTGTACCCCGGAGCCCTCTGTGAGGGTCTGTAGGGTAGTGGTCAGGTTCCTCAGCCCCCAGGGCTCAGGAGGAGGCCAGGCCCATGGGTCCCGCTGTTAGGAGCTCCAGTGCTGCTTCCTCGCCAACAGGGCTCTACCCCTCATCTGTGTGGCCCTAAGGTCAGGAGACCAGACCAGAAGGAGGCTTCTTACAGTCCACCCTCCACCCCCCAGGGGCCTTTTAGTCCCAATGAGGAAGCCCAGAGCTGGAGGAAGGGGCCTGTGCAGCCAGCCAGTGCTAGGCTGGGAGGGAGGAGTCACGGCAGGTGCACTAGGGAGGCAGTCCACCCACTGGGACGTGAGCAGTACTGGTGCAGTTTCCAGCCCAGCCCAGGCCCATCAAGAATGCAGATTCCTGGGGCCCACTCCTGGAGATTGAGAACCACTGGGCCCCTAGCCCCAGACTCTGAATTGCACCCAATCCAGTCCCCAGGTGGCCTCTTCCTTCCAGGGGTGAGCCAGGAGACCAGCCCAGGCAGGGGAGGGCCAAGAGGCAGGCAGGAGACTGGCTGTCCCCAGGGCCTGGCTGGAGGGGTGGGGCCTGTCACCAAGGCAACGAGAGGCCTGTGCTTATCTTTACAAATCCCTCCTGACCTCTCAGGCTGCCTGGGCTGACCCGGCAGAGGATGGATTAGCGGACACCAGCCTTCCCCTCTGACCTGCGCCCTGCCTGGGGACAGACAGAGGGACAAAGTTGTCCATTTACCGAATGTATGCGCAGTGCTCGGTGTGCATTTGTTATTACCTTGCCATGTTTGGTTCAAAGCAGTAAAGGGGTGTCATTAAGAAAACTTATACTTTTCTAACAAAGAGGCAGAGAAACTTTCAAAAACTTTCAAATCTGCCAATGCTTGTGAAATCACTACCCAGGGATCGTCATCTTAGCACATTCTGGAAGCCTCAGCCTCCTTAAACCAGAAGAGTATCTAGCAGGGGCTGGGGCTGGGGCCGAGGCTCAGTGGTAGAGCACTTGCCTAGCCATGCTCAAGACCCTGGGTTCATGCCACAGTTCAGGGAGGAGAGGAGAGCCCAGGCAGAGCGGGGACCTCAACATCCCATGAGCCATGGGCACTTATTACAGGTCCATTCCCACTGCAACAGTGGATGAGAAGTGTTTTACTAAGGGTGGATTTGGGGAAGCTTCCTGTCTTGGGCAGGCCAAGGGAGAAAATATTTCCAAGTAGTGATCTAATATCTCATAAGGTCTGGGGCTTCTGGTACAGAGCTTAAAGGCATAATTTCAAATCCCACAGTTGGGAGGATGAGGCATGAGGATTGTGAGTTCAAGGCCAGCTTGAGCTACAGAGCAGGACTCTTATCTTGATGATGGAGGAAGAAGAAGAGGAGGAAGAGGCCAAGGCCCAACGCAGTGGCTCACATCTATAATCCTAGCTACTAAGCAAGGAAGATCCTGGTTTGAAGCCAGTCTGAACAAAAAGTGAACAAAGTCCCAAGCTTAACCAATAGAAGCTAGTCATGGTGGTACACCTGTCATCCTACCAAGGCTGGAAGCAGAAATAGGAGAATTGTGGTCCAGGCTGCCCGTGCAATAAACAAGAAAAAAAAATTAAAAAGCAAAACAGACTAGAGGCATGGCTCATATGGTAGTCTATTAAAAAGCAAGCACAAGACCAGGAGTTCAAACCCCAGTATTGCCTAAAGCTAAACAAAAGACATAATTGGATTACTAATGGCAATACTAGCTGGAACAGATGGAGCACTGGCCTGTCCCAGTGTTTCTAAACCGTGATCTCAGAGCCGGAGCCAGGCGTACCTCTCGAGTGAGGGAGACCCAGCAGAACAGTTGCCACCTGTTTGTGGCCACTGGTTCCCTGGTAATGACCTTGGTGGCCAGGCACAGGTGGCTCACGGCTGTAATCCTACTCAGGAAACTGAGATCTGACTATTGTGATTTGTAACCAGCCTGGGCAGGAAAGTTCCTGAGATGCTTATTTACCACCTAAAAGCTGAAAGTGGAGTTGTGGCTCAAATGGTAGAATACCAGCCTTGAGCAAAAAAGGGACAGTGCCTAGGCCCTGAGTTCAAGTCCTAGTACCAGCATAAACAAAAATAAATAAAACCTACATTGGAGCACTACTGCATTATTGCAGGAAAGTCTCACAGTGAGGTGCTCCCCATTTCTCAGAGACACTGCAGGGTGATGTGGCTTTATGCAGGTGAGTTCCATGATCTGCAGAGAAATCCTGGCCTGGCCACACAAAAGCTGTGTGACTCTGGGCAATTTGCTGACCCTCTCAGGGCCTCCTTTACCTCCTCTGTAGCTGGGATCAAATCCTGTGACCCCCCTAGGGCAGTGTCATGGCAGTGGGGTGGCCGGTGTGACTCACTTATCAGCAGACTTTTACAACAGCCAGCACAGCTATCTGCATGGTCCTGGGTTGGGCTGGCCGTGTGTGGCTTCTCGCCTCCACCCCTCTCTGGAGGAGGGGCCAGATTTGGAGACTGGGCTGGCTGCCCCTTTGTGTGCTGGACTCCCAGGGTGCTCGGGGAAGGGGGGTGGGTGAGATCCCAACGTGTCCCATTGTACTAGAGGATGCTTTCTTCCTCCCTATGGTAACCAGCCTGCCGGCAGCAGACAGAGAGGCCCAGCTCAGGGCCTCCAGAATCCTCCACCTCCTCTCAGATGGAAAGCAGTTCAAGTACCTCTCTGCCAGGCGTTGGGTGATGATCCTGCCTGCAGTGCCCCAACTCTAGCCTTCAGGGTTCTCCAGAGATGGGACTCCATGAACAGAAGTCAGAGGGGGCAAGGCAGCCCCTGGGGGCCCCAGTGGGGCTGTGAGGTAATGGTACCCCTCAGCATTCCTTTCCATCAGTTTTCTATCTGCCCAGCCTCAAGATCCACACGCTGAATGTAAACACTGCAACACATGCGCACTGGTGTGCACACATTGGTGTGTGCAAGGCACCTGCCCTGTACCTATAGGGATGAGTGTGTGCATGTACACACAATGGATCAATACACATGACTTACTGGTGTTTGCCATGTAGATGGATAGAGGTGTGCAGAAGCACCTGTGTTTGTCTGTGTGCACACAGGCATGAGCGTTCAGACCAACTCCAGGTCCACAGATCAGGACTTGGTATTGAGATCTGGGAGCAGACCCCAGCTCCTCTTACAAGCCCTGGTCACCTCAGGGACCTAGCTCCTACATACGCCATCCCTCCCCGTGCCTCGCTCTCCTTCCTTACAAAAGGGGGCATTCTCTCCCTGGTGTCCCAGACAGGAAAGGAGAGACTGTGAGTCCAAGCTCTAGGAGAAGATAACCCCAGGGAGAGTGCCGGGACCAGGAACTGAGAGATGGCCTGCCTTTAGGGAGCCGAGGCAAGGCCTTCCTCAGCCCCTTCCTGCAGCCTGTGTTGGCCAGGATGGCCTGGCCCTGTAGCTATAGTGACCAAGACAAAGCATCCCTCTAGACCCCCAGCAGGAATTCCAGGATGGTGCAAGACTCCACGTGGACAAAAGCAAAGCCTCTGGCAAGGGGGTCTAGCCTCAGGAGCCCTTCCAGCTCCATCTGGGAAGGTGGAGGCCTGGCAGAGAGCAGGGACATACACTGTTCCTGGATTACAGCAGCCCCAGCCTAAGTTCAGGCAGGGGGACCGCACAGCAGAGGGGAGCACTCAGTTCCCATGCACCTCTTCTCTCCTCCACCTCAACCCGCTGAAGTCGGGTCTGCTGCCTCCACCAGGCCCCCAAGATTGCCAAGTCCCAGTCAGTTCAGCCCACTGCGCAACTTCAGCTCAGCAACTGTGGCCCTAAGACAGCTCACCCGTCACCCCAGACACAACTCCCTGCTCACGCGAAAACTCTACCCACTTCACCACCTCACGTGCACCCCCAGCCCTGTAGATGAAGATTGGCTCTCCCCTGCAACTCCCCAAGCTCAGCCCCTCACACCCCAGGCCTCCACAGCTCCATCCGATGAGACACCCCACCAGAATTCATAGCACCCCACCCTCAGACCCACTCCACCCACCGCAGCCCAGATTCGCCCTGCCCACCACCTGCAGAGGCCCCTCGACAGGAAACTTCCCGAGTCCCAGAGCACACTCACCCCCTCGGGGCCCCACGCGGGCCAGAGGCCCTGGGCCCCAGCAGCCAGAACCTGCCCTGTCGGCCATGGGGCACAGACCCCTCCCCAAGTGCTTGCCCCCCCCCACACTTACCAGCCAGGAGGCCCAGGGCTGGGGCCCAGGACCACAGCAGCAGCAGCCAGGGGCCCAGGGGCCTGGAGTGCGGGGTCACAGGCCGGGCCAGCGCCATAGCTCCCCGCTCAGCCGCCTGTGGGAACGGGGCGGCCCGGCTGGCTGCGCGCCCCCCGCGGCCCTCCAACCAGCACTAATGCGGTGGACAGAGGCCGGCCCCGCCCCCGCCCCGCCTCCCGCGCCCTCCAGGAGGACGCGCGGGGCGGGCCAGGCCCCGCCCCGCCCCTCCCCCCCCCCCCCCCCCATCCGAGCCCGGGGAGCGGCCTGGGCTCTGCTCACCAGGTGAGGCCGGAGCCTCCCACCCCAGCGCCGGCTCCCGGCTGCGCAGCCCTCGCGGTCCCTGGGTGAGGAAGGGGGAGTGAGCGTTGTGTGGGTGCAGAGGGGGACCTGGGCTCCCCCAAAGTGCAGGTCCCGCTCACTGACACGGCAACACAGAGCCGGTCGGGGGGACCCGACTTCCCTGCAGGCGCCCCGGCTCCGCCAACGCTCCGGGCGACCCGCCACTAACTCGGGCACGCGGGCCGGGCTCCGCCGGGTGCGGACGGGACGGGGGGCGCCGAGCCTTCGGGGACGGGGTCACGACGAACCTCCGACCCCAAGGAAGCCGGCAGCCCGGGTCCTCAGGGGTCCCGCGGGGACCTTGTCCATTCTCCCCCCCCTCCCCGTCGAGTCTTATCTTTCCAGGGTGGGGACTTAGTCCTTGGTTTCCGGTGTCCCGCCTCCGCCATCCACCCCTCACCACCCCCAGAACCCCGCCCGTCCGCCGGGCACACCCAGGCCTGGGCCCAGATGAATGACCTCAAGGCCGTCCTTCCTGCTGCCGGCCTCAGTTTCCTCACCTGGAGAACGGGTTAATAGCTCCGCCTCCTGAGGCCTTCAGAACCCGAGGCAGCTGAGGTTTATTCTGCTGCTCAGAATCCTAAGAGATCTGGTGGATCTCCCCATCCACCGCACCCCGCCCCCCGCCCGCCGGCACCAAAAAGCAGAAACCGGGCGCGGGCTCCCACAGCCCGGAGGGACCTCGGCAAACTTCCCACCCGCGCCGAGCACGTTACCGCCCGCCGGCCGGCCAGGCCCCGCCCTCGCAGAGCCACGCCCCCAAACGAAGGCCACGCCCCCTAGTAGAAACCCAGCTCTGGCGTTCGGGTCTAAACCCCCCCCTCCACCCCAAGCCCCGTTTTCCCCCTCCCCGCCCCGCGATAGAATACAAACCCCGCCCCCGGGTTGGGCCACGCCCCTCTATCAGGTAGAAGCCCCGCCCCCTCTCGGTCCCACAGCCGCCACGCGCCCCCTTGTGGTCATACGTGGAAGCGTCCTGCGAGGTCCGCGGGAGACAGGCTGGGGAGCCCCGGACAGCTGGCCGCCCGGGGTTAGGCGCGCGCGGGTCTCCGGAGCTGCAGAAGGCAGAAGAGCCGACCAGCTCTCTAAGACGGTCCTCATTCTCCCATCTGGAGGAGATAGACAGGGGTAGAAAGGGGACCCAACACAGCTTCAGTTTACCCTCTTAGCGGCACCACAAGGGCATTATTGACCCCATCAAACAGATGTGGAAACTGAGGCACAAGAGAGAAACCCCCTCCCCCCACTTCAGCCCTTGCCATCCGCGGCCGGCCGGATCTGGGATCATCCTCCGGCTCCCACCAGGGGGTGGCAAGCAGGGAGACCTGGTGGCGGGGGCACATGGGAGCTGGAGGTGGGGCCGGGCTTCCGGGGCCTACAGAGGATGGTGACCCACCGGTGGACGCCCCCGGAAGACCACTTGTCTCCCCTCTCACGGCCTTGCTAGTTCTGTCACCGGCTCCGCCTTCCCCAGATCGGGGTCTGCCCTGCCGGGCCTCCCTGCCCCCCGATGAGTGCACACTGGCTGCCCCAACCCTTCCCAGGGTGGCCACTGGGAGCCCCTCCCCTGCAGGATGCGATGTGGGAGGAGGGGTCCAGCCCCCTCTCCCTGCGCTGGGGGGCCAGTGCGATTGGGTTAGCAACCAGGGCCCTGCGTGGCCAGGTCTGGGGCCGCGCTCCCCGGGTCTCTCCCGGACCCTCTCATCTTCTCCCAGCGCCCCTGGCTTCCCGCTATTCTTCACACTCATCCCAGAGTGTTGGGGTGGATCCAGGCCTAAGCCCCTAATATGGCTGCTTTTCTCACACCCTGCTCCTGCCCCGGCTTCAGGGCCCAGCCCCCTCTGCCTCCCAGCAGAGCCTCGGGAGCTGGGCCCGGGGCTTCCACCTCACCTCAGCCCCACCTTAATGAAAAACATTTTGCATGAAGTGAGACAAAATAAACCATGCACAGGTGCCAAAAGAAATCACCCCAACGCCAGAGCTAGCGGAGGGCTATCCTAGGCCAATGGTGAAGGGCCAGATTCCAGTTCAAATCCCGAGCCCTCCACTTTCCAGCTCTGTGACTTGGTTCAAATCACTAATCTCTCTGAGAGTCTGTCAGCTCCCAAGTTAAAAAAAAAAAAAAAAGACCACTCCCACCTTACCGTGAGGATTGCATGAGTAATTATTCAAAACCCATATACTTGGAGCTAAATGAGTGATGGTTAAATTAATAAATAAGGAAAGTAACTTAAGGTGGTATTTCAAGTTGCAAGCACTCTTATAGGTGACATTGAAGGGAATAACAAAATAACGAGACGCTTATGTCCACAGAACCCCGGAGCATGGCAGCCACCAAGGAAGAGTGACATGGGATGTCCCCTTGGCCACTTAAATACCACAAGTGCACGGACAACCAGTGTTTTCAAAACCGTGACTGACAACTCAATGGTTATGAACAAGGTAAGGAGGAACGTTTCCTTACAGCTACTGCCTTGTATTGTCAACCACATGAACATGCTGTCTACTGCTGGGTGCCAGTGGCTCAGGCTTGTAATCTTAGCTACTCAAGAGACTGAGATCTGAGGAACTTGGTTCAAAACCAGCCCAGGGAAGGAAAGTCTGTGAGACTCTTACCTTCAATTAACCAGTAAAAAGCTGGAAGTAAAGGTATGGTTCAAGTGGGAGAACCCCAGCCACACCAGCCTTGAGTGGAAAAACCTGAGTTCGAGCTCCAGCAGGCACACACACACACACACACACACACACACACGCACGCACGCACGCACGCACACACACACACACACACACACCACACACACACACACACACGCACGCACACACACACACACACACACCACACACACACACACACACACACACACACAGAGTCTATTGATACAAAATTCAGCCTCAGGCAGGTATTTTCCCTCTACTTGTTCTCATAGGAAATCCCAAAGTTGAAGTCAAATGGCACTTGGTGACAATTCTCTGAGATGTGCATAGTCATACACATTGCTCAGCATCCTGTATCAGGGCCTGTTGGGGATGCTAACCTTCCAGGGGTGGTTCCAGTCATTAAGATTACTAACTACACGCCAGATTCTCCGAACAGTACGGGGGAAGGGGGCATGCCAGGGTTCTATTCCAGTTACCCTAGGACCAAGGCTAAGGGCTGATTAAGTCACTGCCAGAGGGCAGTTTCTCAGTGGAGCTTGGAATGTGAATCGTTTTCTGGGTGAAGTTGCTGGAGTCCTGCAAGGGCGCAGGGTGCAGAGACCTTGGAAGGGCCAGTGTTGCCTGAGGGCAGATTATGACTATGATTATGAGTGTGACTAGCCTGGGGTCAAGCTTGCCAGGCGGTTTGGGTTGTATCCTGGGGCCTTAGCAGAGATTAGAGCAAGCTGATGACTCAGTCCTGTCTGCACTTGGCTGAGTTCACTCTGGGAAGAATGTGGAAGACTTTGCAAGACTAGAGAAACAAATGATTAAGAGTATTTGGGTGAGCATGGGGTGTGTAGTAAGACTAGCAGAATTTGGCATCTGTGGGGACTGAAAAAGGGAAGGCTGGAACATACCCAAATCCCAGTTTTGTAAGTCCCTAATGGAAGCCTAGAACCTGGGTAACAGAAGGCTTGGAGAGGTAAAGACAAACCCAGTCCCCTCAGGACAAAGAACTGGGTGTGGGTCTCCCTATAACCACTAGAGGGAGCTCCAGGACCAGCTCCCTCCTCAGCCTGGCCTCCACCCCTCCATGCAGGTAGGTAGATTGAACTTCTCAGATGTCTGCTCTGGGGGAACAAAGTCCAATGGCCTCCTGGTCTCTGGGCCCTGCCTACCCTGGCTAGCCTACTCCCTTTTCCCCCTTCCCAGAGGCTAGTCGGACAGGCAGCGGGCCTCTTGAACTGAAAGAGTGCAAGAAGACCTTCCTAAAACTCCTAGGTGTGGGTTTTTTTTCTTCCTATGAGCCTCCCCTGGCCCTTTGGAGTGGGCGTGGCTACCATGTTTGAAATGGAGGCCCTTGCACACCACACCTCATGTGGGGCGGGGGAGGTTCCACAGCGGAACTTAGGGGAAGCTGAGCCTTGAGTTCCCCACTTTGAGTTCTCCCTCAACTTCGCTGGGGTGGCTCAGATCAGGGCTCAGCCTGCAGCCAGGCTGGTTCTGAGTGCAGGATCAGGGTCCTGGTCTCCGCCCAGTGTGGAAGTTTGGGCTTAGCTCTGTGAGGCCAGCTTGGCCTCTGGAGCCAACCCCCTAGTGGAAATGTGGTCTGACCCTTGCCCTTGGGGCTTGAGTCTCTTACCACTGCACAATGAAAACCTGGCAGGTTACCCATGCACTCACCCATCCATCTACTCGCTCACCAAGTGCATGCCAACTACCCCGCGTGCTGGCCGTGGGGAGGTGCTGGGCTGGAAGCAGAGCCAGCTCCCCATCCAGCCCAGGCCAGCGTGGATGCTGGACACTGGACAGAGAACTGTAGGATGCAGAATGAGTGGAGCAAAGAGAATGAGGAACCGTGAGCTGGAGGGAAGGAAGCTGCTGGATGGGAAAGGGGCAGCGTTCCAGGCAGAGGGCATGCCCACAGAGGGCAGTGCGGCTGGAGTTCAGGGAACAGCCAGGTGGCTTGGAGGCAGCTGAGAAAAGCGGACACTGTTGGGGCGGGAGAGTCCAATCGCTAAGGGAGAAGAGGGGGAGCCCTGCAAGGCCCCTGGGGGATGTGTGGAAGGAAGGGGTGACCCTGGGCAGGCTCAAAGTGCAGACGGATAGTTAGAGCAGAGGAATGGCGGTAGAGCAGGGGTTTGGAACAGTGATTGGCATCACTGCTCCCATCTAAATGGCACGAGCCTTGAAAATTTTATGGAACCCCCCCCCCAAATTAACACATGGAGCCACTGAAATAGGAAACTCTTTCTTATTAAATCTGGTGGAAAGAGCAAACTCAGGCCCAAAGTAACACTAACAGGATTTTAATAACCTGGAACAGAACGCACCACGAGGCACAGCTGAGCTGTGTTAACTCCTGCTGACTCCTCAGACCCCAGGCCCCTTGAACAGCACAGCTCCCATTGCCCAGGTAGGGCCACTGAGGCTTAGCGAGGGGCAGGGACTAGCCAAGGTCCTATGGCATGGTTCGAATGAGAACAGAACCCTCCTGTCTTCCAAGCTTGGAATTCTCTCTGGAGAGAACACGTGTGTCCTCACCCACTCCACACATGGTAACACACCGTGCTCACAGGAGACTGCAAACACATGCAGACTCATGCAGCTACTCGTCCTGACTAGACGTGTGTACGTACATCCATGCCACCTGCCCAGATCAGAGCACCCCAAACAGACATGGACACATGAACCTTCGCACACACATACATCTGTCATTCCACACAGAAATACTCAGATCCACATACATGCCCCTGCGGGGCAGGGCACACAAGGGAACCCAGGAGCAGTGTGCCCTGCTCACCTGCAAGGTCGCCAGATATCCTCAGAACACAGCTTCAAGCACAGCACCCACAGTTCATGGGTGCCCCAGCTGAGCATGCGCAGATGCATGGACAGACAGAGGTGTGCCCTGATCGGGTACAAATCCCAGGCCCAGGGGGCAGCAAGTTAGTATGGCAAGTCCTGGAGCCTGTGCCCTGTCTCCCCTCTGCAAGAGCCTGAGAAGTGTAGCTTCAGGTGCCTGGGCAGGGCTGCTGTGCCCTGGGTCTTGGGAAGAGCCAGCATGGGGTCCTAGCGAGGGCTCAGGCAGCTCGGAGGGGCTGGAGTACCCCAGCCCAGGTTCAGGGTCAAGCTGTTCTCCCAGGGTATGAGTGGCAGAGAGGAACTGGGATGGTTGAGAGTTTGCAGAATGGGCTTAGAATTCCTGCCCGCCCACCCACCAGTCTTCACTTGCTGTTTAATAAGAACCTTTTGTAAGCCAGGCAAAACCAAGAGGCAGCCTCTGCCCTCCGGAGGCAAACCATCCCAGGCTGATCATGGCCTGAGGCTGTAGACGACCCTGGCTTCCATCCAGGACTGTGGGACATGGAGTAGTTAGTTTCTCTGCGCCTCAGTTTCCACCATGAGCTCCATCACCACCTGCGGGTGACCACTTGGGAGGAAAGGGACAGCTTTAATGAAATTCCGCACCAGCTGGTGCTAGAGCCGTGATGCAAGTGCACAGCCCCAAAGTTATGGCGTTGGCTGAGCTCCAATCCCTGCTTAACCAGGACCAGCTGCCTGAGCTTGAAGCCTCTCTGAGCTTCTATTTTCTCATCTGTAATATGGATATAAGAATAACTTATCACACAAGTACGGTAGAATAGTGTTTATGAAGCTCTTAGCACAGAGCCTGCCACAAAGTACATACTCCATGAAATCACTTTCTATAATTATATATCAGCTTTCATTTATTCACTCAACCAACAGTCACTGGGTGTTTACTGGGCTCCAGGAATAATCCTAGGAGCTCTCCAAATTTTCTCCGTCCTTCTAGGGTTACATTTATCCCTCTCTTGTAACCAAGTCTTATAACCCAGGGAACAGAGGTATAGAGAAGGCCTGTCACTTGTTCAAGGTCACAGAGCCAGTAGGAGCCAGAGCCAGAATTGGAACCCAGGTCTCCCAGCCTCTTTAAATCCAGCTAGGAGACATACGCTTCCCTTTTATAGTTCAGAGTCCTCTTCCCCTCTCCTAGCAGCAGCCCCTGTTAAATAAATCATCCAGGAACGGTTTCTAATTCCCAGACTTGGTTGCAAATGAATTATTCACATTGTAAGGCCTGCAAACCACAGGCTGGGCCTCATTACCCAAGAAGGGCTGCTTGCCCACAAAATGCCCCTCCCTCCCCGGGGTGCAGGTCCTGGCGGGCCAGCCAGAAGCAGGCAGAGTTGGCAGGGCGGTCGCCAGAGCCCCAAGCCTGCACCCTGCTCTGGGAAGAGGGTAGGGCTTTCTTCCCCCTTGAAGCCTTTGCTTTCTAATAAGCTCACAGTCTTGCTGTTACTGAAAGCCAGTCTTGAATCCTGGTCTGAGATGACTCTGTCCCAAAGTGCAGCTGTGTGACCACAGGGCCTCTGAGGGAGGAAAGCCGAGCACCAGCTCACCCAGCAGGTCACAGGGCCCTACTTTATACTTTCTCTTCTATTTGTGGGTTGAGGCTTGTACTGCATGGACAGGCTCCCTGCCAGTTGCTGGGGACAGAGATTCCATCCTGTGGGGGCTTCCTGTGTCTGGTTGAAGCCCCTTGTGAGCCAGAAGCCTGGGGGCTGTAAGAGACATCGCAAGGCCCTCTTCACCACAGAAGCTGGGGTGTTGGCTCATGTAGGCCGGGGGAAGCCCTCAGCTAGTGCCTAGAGCAACAGAGGCCCCGCTTCCTTGTTGCCTCCCCTGAACCAGAGCTTCCGAGTGGGTGATGAGCCTCTCACAGGCCAGTCCTGCCATCAAATTAGACCCAATCTGAGTCACCAGTGGGTGCCTAATTCTCTGGCAGACTGAGCCTAGATTCCGCCCCAGTCTAAGCTTAGATCCAGTCCCACGCTGAGACCCAGATGTCTACCAAGGGCTGTCCAGAATGCAACTGACCCCTAATCCAGTCCCTATCCCAGAAAGACAGAACTGGTACTGATTAGAGGGAGCACAGGTGTCCCATAGAAAGCAAGGGCCAGGGCCATTTGAAACAGGGCAGAGGTAACAATGGGAGATGGGAGGGGGGTGGGTGGAGGGGTGGTGGAAACAAGGACAGGACCAGATCTAGCAGCCAGCTAGGAAAATGGGACCCTGGGATTTCAGTGTGCTCAGGGGGCTTTTCCAAAAGTAGCTCTAATTCCTCAGATACAAGATCCTAAATCCAAGCCCAAAATGGCTCTTGAGCAGGGAGGGGCCTGGGCACAGCCCTACTGCTCCTCAGGACAATGGGTTCTGTTATCACCACCTTACAGAGGCCTGGGATGTGGCTAGCCATGGTCATGGGCACTTAGGCACTGAGCCTCTGTTTTCCGGTGGGATCTAGGCTCAGGCAGTGGCTGAACTCTCAGTGAGAGACCTGCACTGGCTCCCAGGCACCTGTTACCTGACTGTCAGTTGTGTTCCTGAGCTCTTCTAGGGATCAGGGGAGTCAGAAGAGTCTGTATAACATGACCAGGCCCAGCCTCAGGTGGGCTAGAGTTCCTGCCGGTCTCCCCTGGCAGATTTTCTGCCTCTCATGCTCTTCTCCTTGAAGCAGGCACTATTGTAAACACAGCCCAGGTAAAGAAACAGAAGCTTGGCAAAAGATCTCACTTGTCCCTCAGAGATGACACTCCCTCTCAGAATTCCCTGGTCTCCCACACTCTGTTCATATCTGTGGAAAAACAAAGACCACTTTTCCATCTGCTGTTCCATGCTGCACTCATCCACATGTCCATCTATCCACCCATCTTCCTGTGCATCCATCCATCCATCCATCCATCCATCCATCCATCCATCCATCCATCCATCCATTCATCCATCCATCCATCCATCCATCTATCCAACTACCTGTCCATCCATCCTCCTGTCCATCCACCTACCTTCTCATCCATCCACCTGTCCATCTGTTCACCCATCCACCCATCCATCCACCTTTCTTTCTTTTTTTTTTTTTTTTGGTCCGGTCGTGGGGCCTGAACTCTGGGCCTGGGCACTGTCCCTCAGCTCTTCAGCTCAAGGCTAGCACTCTACCACTTGAGCCACAGCGCCACTTCCAGCTTTTTTCTTATATGGTGCTGAGGAATCGAACCTAGGGCCTCAGGCATGCAAGGCAAGTGCTCTACCACTGAGCAACTTCCCAGCCCCTCATCCACCTTTCCATCTATCCATTCACCCACTCATCTAGCCACCCACCCATCTACCCACCCATCCATCCTCCTGTCCATCTATTCACCATCCATCCATCAACCTGTCCATCTATCCACCCTTGCACTTATCCATCTAGCTATCCTCCTATCCATACATCCACCTTTATATCCACTTATCCATCTGCCTACCTATCCACTCATCCACCCATCCATCCACCACCGATCCAACTATCCAGTTTCCTTCCATCCATCTATCCTTCCATCCACACATCCATCATCCATCTAGTCGCCATCTACTATCCATTCATCTATCCAAAAAAGCCCCGTACCCATTCATCCATCTAGGGATGCCCCCGCCCATCTATCCATTCATCCATCTACCCATCCATCCATCATTCACCACCCACCATCTATCCATTATCCATTCATCCACCATCTACCCACCCAGTCATTGATCCATTAGTACAGCTAGTCTCCCACCACCCATTTACTCACTCATCATCCATCCATCTGTCTATACATCCATACACCCACTCAATCAGCCATCCATCCACCTA